ATTTTATTTATTATAACTACGTCCGAGTAATCTTATTTTGATAAGTACGAGATTTCTAAATAATGATACTAATAATTTGAATAATTAATTTACTTTATTTTAATTGAACTACAATTACTGTTTTCCAAAGGAAATTTGTTTTCCTCTATATCTTTGTCCATGACAAAACAAAAAACACCATATATCAATCCAAATAAAAATTGAAGATGAATCCGAATAAAATTGAAGATGAGGGAAGTTCTTAGGTGTGGAGGCCGATTTAAAGGCGAGCGTCGAGGATTTGAATAGAGAGGTCGGCGAGAGGGGCGACACGTTGAGCAGAGGTGGTTGTGAAGCAGTGGAGGGTGGTGGTAGCGGTGGAGTGCGCGCCACCGACGATGGTGGGGAAAGGTAGGGTGGAGTGGAGGTGAGGCATGGCAAGGCTGGGGTTTCAAAGGGCAAGATGGGCTCTATCTACGGCAAAATAATTGTGACAGTGGGGATTTCAGTTCCAACTATCTAAGTTTTTACACTGATTTGATGTTTGATATGAGAAAGCAAGTCTTTAGCAAATAAAATCTATATCTTCGTCAATGGCTTACGTGTGATAATATTTTGTTCATCTAGCCTTTATGTTGAGTGTAACTTATTATGCTTATGTGTTATTTTGAAATTTTGTTCTGTTAATAGATTTGGACGACTCTTTAACGTTTTGCGATTTTTGATCAATTTGAAGAATGTGAGTTGCTCATACCCAATCCAATATTGTAGCATATCAAAGTTTTCAATAGTGAAGACAATAGCAAGAGTGATGCCACAATAAACGAGAAGCAGGAGATGGGATGCAAAAGTGATGTTGATTCGCCCGGGTACTTCAAGTTAAAAATGATATAAGTCATGTTTGTTTTTTAAATTTAATGAATCAACTTCGATCTATATGTACTGAGATAAATCGTGGTCTTACTATATGATTTATTTTTATTTTTTTAGTATGAATTTTATTGTGCACTATGAGATTGGAATATTTATGTGTTGATTTTGAATTTTCTGTCGAATGTGAACTTTTTATGTTTCAATAAAAATGTTACTATTTGACTTTTTTTTGTTTGTTTACGTTCTGTATATAAAAATGACATGGATAAGTAAACATATACAGTTAATATACTTCAGTTTACAAAAGTATATATCATGTTTGAAGATACGCGTAATATATACGCAATATATAATGTTGTTAATTTATACTTTAGTAAACATATCCTTTAGGATATACGTTGTTAAACATTTACTTTAACATATATTCAACATATATTTTACCATATAATTACGTTAACACAACACATACTTTATTTAAACACAACAATACCATCCAGTGGAAGATGAATATCCATTGTATTCTCTCAATTAAACGCCACATATAGCTATATTGATAAACCTCAATGTAGTAATATTTATGTAATATTTGTTCATATATTAAAAAGTAGGTGTTCCATGTAAATTTTTACACAGAACATGCGTTAGTTAAACATGAAGATTTTTCAAATATTACAAAGATTTATAAACACAAGAAACTCATGGAATAACAACCAAACTCAGTCACGAATTCGCTAGACAACTCGTAATCAACCCCTAATCGTACGTTGTCCAAAAGAAGTTTCAACTTCAGAAATATCTTCGTGACCAGCAAGCCACTGGCACTCGTGACAGCAAGAGGAGAAGAGGTTGTTGCTCCAGATCGACGAATGTGGTGAGGAGATTGCATATTTGAAAGGGAAAATCGATGAATTTGAGGGTGTGGAGTCCGATTTAAAGGCGAACGTCAATGATTTGAGGAGAGAGGTCGGTGAGAGGGACGAGATGTTGAATTTCATAAGTAGAGGCGGGTGTGAAACGACAGCGGCAGCAACAATAGTTGTGGAGAAAGTTATGATAGCGTGAAGTAACTAAATATTTTATTGAAAAATAATATCGCTTATGATGTTATCTTTTAAAAAATGATAACGCTCGAGGGCATCGTTATTGTTTTTGCCCAGAACCTCATAATGTTCAAAATCGGCTCTGTGTGTTAATGAATAGAAGCCCACTTCTAATACTTAAGAAAACACATATATTATCTGGAGCTCAAATAACATAAACTATGATGAACTTGTAGAATCATGAAACCACGGCGTCTAATTCACTCATTAATTCATATTAAACGTAAAATTTTTCACCATGGAGTAAAAAAAAAAATTCTGACTTGAATGTATTAAGATTCATTGGCCACATATATTTCTCCGAACCGGATAAAATGGACTGAACAATAAGTTTATTGGCCCTTTACTGAAGGGTGAAAAGCATCCCAAAAGATATATTCTTGGTTTTTACATAAATTTGAAGCTGGAGTACAAAGGCACATTCCATTATAAGGCCCTTGCCCACAGCATGCCACCTTGAAATGCGACGAAACCTGCAATTGGAAAAACAAAAAAAGAAAAACTTACCTTGCCTACGTCCAACATGTTATGTTTTTATACAAAAACAAAACCTCTTCTATATATTAATGCAGAATATCTTGATTCTATATGTTGATTTCCGATGCTTCATAATTTTACGTGTCGAATTTTGATGGCTCGTAATCCTATGTGTTCTCTGGTGCTTCGTAAACTTATGTGTCAAATTCTAATGACTCATAATCCTATGTGCAGCTATAAAATTTCAACTATTTACCAAACGCTTATTTGACAAACTGCTAATTGAATCCGCTAACCAAACCTACTAGTACAATCTGTGTTTTCAGAAGAGAGGATTAAGAAAAGCAATACATAACAACAATAAATTTTCACTATTTATCAAATGCTTATCCGACAAACGGTTAATTAAATCCGCTAATGCAAATCAGCTAATACAATCCTCCTAATTACCAACGGAAAAATTACACTTTGCCTACCTAACTATCCGCCTTTTAACACTTTGCCCACTAAACTTTTTTTTTTTGCACTTAACCTGTATGAACTTCGCATTTTTGTGCACTTACCCACTTCCGGCCATCGGAGTTCATATTAGTCCAACACGTGGCAATGACGACTACGCGTACGGGGGCATAACAGACATTTTAAGTTGTTTTTCTAATTAAAACCTAAAATCCCCAAATCGATCGTTCCCCAATTTTCAAATTCTCTCAATTCCCAAATTCTGCCCTAACCCTAATCTCCAAAGAAAGTTCATTCTGTCGAAAATCTTTCAAGCGTAGCAAATATTGAACAATGTCATGGAAAGTACGTGCACCCGATGATGAAGATATACCGCCTGGAAGTTGTTGCCCAGATTACGGTGAGTTCGTAATTTGTTCTTCTTTTTTCATTCATTTTTTTTCTTTGGGACGACACTGGTGCTCTAGTTCGTTATTCATTGGTTCGTAATCTGTGTTTATTACTTCTTTATATGTTCAATGGGTAGAAAAATGAGATTTTTTTGGTATTGCAGAAGAGTTGAACATGTCCGTAATATGTGTTCATTCCTTTGCTTTTTTATTTTTCAACAGGTCCCCAATCTGAGATGTTCACAATCAGAGTTTATCATTCTGGGGAATTTCTGAATTTAGGAAATAAGTACTACTTGGCAGGTGAGGTTGCATATATTGACTATTGCCATCCTGATGAAATATCTTTAATTGAGATTATGAGTATGCTAGAAGAGTTAGGTGTTAATGAAGTGAAACAACTTCACTGCACACAAGGAGATGTGAGTGACTGCACTAATTTGCTTATCTTGAATGATGATAGTGATGTACTCAGAATGGGGCAAATGGTGAATGATAGTAGGTTGGTGGGTTTATATGTGGAGCATGAAACTACAAAGAACAATCATGAAACCTCTACTTTTCCTCATATTAATGAACCTTTGAATTATGTTGGTGATTGTGATGAAGGCATGGAAACAAATGACCTTAGGGATCCTGAGAATGATATTGTTAATGGTTTGATTGATGAATGTATGAGCAATGATAGTGATGATGTTCAGTCTTGGGGTTCAGATTCTAGTCACTCTGATGTTTTCATAGATAGTGATTGTGATGTTTATGCTGATGATGATGATATTATGTTTGATGAAAACATTGATAGTGCTGTTGAGTTTGGGGGCTTAAGTTCAGGTAGGTCTGAGGGTGTGTGCAGACCCCATGTTGAGTCCATAGGCAGCCAAACCAAGGATAAACATAAGGGTCATAATGTTTTCAATGAGAAATCAGACATTTCAAACCCTATTTTTGAGTTAGGCATGTTTTTTACAGACATGAACTTGTTTAGGAAAGCAGTTAGACAGCATGCTATTAAGAATGGGAAGGATGTGGTTTTTAGCATTAATGAGAGAACCAAGGTACAAGTATAATGTAAGCACACAACTTGTCCTTGGATTATGTATGCTGCTAAGTTACCTGATGAGGATAGTGTTCAGTTGAGAAAGTATGACCCCAAGCATAAATGTCCTAGAAAACAGAGGGTTTCTCATGCAAACTCTAGGTGGCTAGCTGATACATATAGAGAGAAAATATGGACTGATCCCAAGTGGCCTGTGGAGTCCATGAGGAAGATAGTGCAAGGGGAACACAAGCTTCTTTTCAATAAAAGTCAACTCTATAGAGCTAAAAAAAAAGTGTTGACTAGTGCATCTGGGGCTAATCCTGAGCAATATGCATTGTTGTGGTCTTATGCCAGTGAAATTAGGTTGTCAAATCCTAATACCACAGTGAAGATAAAGTGTAGAAGGGTAGGTGATAAAACACTTTTTAAAAGAATGTACATTTGTTGGGGTGCACTTAGAGATGGTTTATTGGATGGATGTAGGCCTGTTGTATTTCTTGATGGTTGTCATTTGAAAACTTCAATGGGTGGGGTCCTTTTAACTGCAGTTGGCATAGATCCAAATAATGGGATGTTCCCATTTGCTTATGCTGTGGTAGAAAAGGAAAAGAAGAAGTCATGGAGTTGGTTTTTACATTTTCTGATAGAAGACTTAAATATCAGAAACCCTTACCATTGGACATTCATGTCTGACAAGCAAAAGGGTTTGATTGAAGCTGTTGAAACCCTTTTGCCTGGTAGTGAACACAGATTTTGTGTTCAACACTTGTACCAGAATTTCAAAGCCCAACATAAAGGGCTTGCATTGAAAAAGTTGTTATGGAAAGCTGCTAGAGCATCTAGAGTGCAGGATTTTCAGAGGGTGATGACTGAGATCAAAGAGAGAGATGAACCTGCATACCAATGGTTGAATGCAAGACCTCCTGCACATTGGTCTAGATCTCATTTTAGCACACATTCAAAGTGTGATGCACTTTTGAACAATCTCTCAGAGACTTTCAATTCTGTGATTGTGAAAGCAAGAGGTGAGTCCATTGTAATGATGTTAGAACTGATTAGGACTTACCTAATGAAGAATATCCATCTGAAAAGAGACAAGATGAGTAAATATCATGGAGAACTTTGTCCTAGGATAGTGAAGTTGCTTGATGAAATGAAGAAAACTAGTATGGAGTTCATTGCACATTGGAATGGGAGGGATCAATTTGAAATAGAGACCATGACTGGGAGTAGGTTTAAGGTTGATGTTGGCGAGAAATCTTGCAGTTGTAGGAAGTGGCAGTTATCAGGAATTCCATGCCCCCATGCAATATCAGGAATATTTTATTTAGGCCAAAATCCTGAGGATTTTGTTGATGACTGTTACAAAAAGGAGACATACTTAAGGGTCTACAGTCATTTGATGGGAGCACTAAATGGACAAGATGAATGGCCAGAAGTGGATCTTCCACCATTGCTACCACCTAGCATTGAAAAAATGCCAGGAAGACCAAAGAAGTATCAGAGGAAGATGGGAACAGATGAGATCAATGGAAAACATGTTAGTGAGCAATCTAAAAATGATGCTACACCTAATCAGGTGAGATTGAGCAAGAAAGGTGTGACAATGAGATGTTCAATCTGCAAGCAACCAAACCACAATTCAAGGGCTTGCCACAAAAATAAGAAAAATGATGTGCCTGCTCCAGTTCAAACAGAATCAACTGCAAAGAAGGTACTTAGATGAAAATTAATGTTGCCACTTATTCAACCATGTAGTATCTTTACTAATCTCATGTTTATTTGCAGAGAAAGAGAAAGAGTCCTAGCAAATCCAACTTTGAAGGGAATGATTTGCAGAGCATAAGGAAGAGTCCTAGACTGAAGGTAAAATTGATGTTCTTTCTTTTCTCAATATGTTCTTGTCATCAGCCGTTATCATTAAGTAACTATATATTAAATTTGTTTTGTTTTGTTGTTAATGTGTTGTAGGAGAAAGCCCAAAGAGTTGAAGGAGTCTCAGAGATAAGGCCACAAAAGGTATAAGATTTCCTTTTCATTCTTTTTTGGTATTTGGTTAAACTGAAGTAGGTTGAACCAAAGGTGACTTTTCATTATTTTTGGTATTTTTTGTTTTGTTTTTGTGCAGGAGAAAAGCATCAAAGCTGGAGGATCCTCACAAGAGCCAGCAAAAAAGGTATGGTTTTTTATTCACAAAGGATCCTCACAAGCACCAACTGTGGGTTTTTATTCCTTTTTTCTTTTTAATCTTTGGTTTTGTGCAGGGTAAACACAACAAAGTTGGAGAATCCTCACAAAATCCAGGAAATGTATGATATTTACTTTCCACATTTGCCATAAACAAACATGTATATGCTAAATTCAATATTGTTATTGTAAATGTGTAGGGAAAAGGAAAAGAAATAGTCATTGCTGGAAATGATGGTGTCAAAGCTAAGTTGCCAGTGAAAAGGAGCTTGAGGCTACAAGGTCTTGTTGGTGAAAAGCCACAAGCTCTTACACAACCTGTTAGGCCACAAGGAAGGAGCAGCATGCTTGATGGTGTGAGATTTTCCACAAGAAAAAGGGTTGCATACTCTCAAGACTAGAATATTTGTTGTTTGGAGTTTGGTTGGTCTGGAAAGTTTGTAATGCCATGTATTGACATTCTGAAATGGTCAGTTTTTATTTGAATAGATTGAGATTGGAACAGATTGAGGTTTTGTGTTGGTATGGGAATATTCTAAGGTGGTCTTGTGTGTTTGTATTGACAATTTAGGTGTTATGCTTTGCTTTTTTGAACAAATTAAGGATTTCTGATTTGAAGAAATATTGAATTTCATTTCATTATGTTTGGATATGCCCTTTGTTATACCCTTTGTTTGGAATGGGAAATGATATTGATTTCATTAATATGTTTATGTCCATCTGGTTATATGTTGATAGTGTCAAGTTGGGAACAAATATTGTACAGGTGAGTACCTTTGTTATTTTTGCATGCATACATTTGCAACATACTTGTATCCATTTGGTTGTTGTAATAGAATGTCCAGTCCATTTCCCGCACACACATAAGCACAACCAAAATATTTTTTCATTCATTCATGAAAGCACAAATGGCTAATGTTACATAAAGAGACATAGACTAGACTAAATGTCTTACAAAACATAACAAATGACTAAGTTTCAGCCAACAATTGAAAATGGGACTTAGCCAAAATCAACAACCACCCTACCAAATGTCTTACAAACTTAAGTTTCAACCAACAATAGAAATGGAAAATGAGACTTAGCCAATAACAACAACAATCACCCTAACAAATTGAAACATAAACCTAAACATAAAATGGTTATATCACCATTTGACAAAGAACATGATCAACCAAGAAAGAACCATCATTCCCCAAAGCCACTTCTCCCTAGACTTCTTTGTAGCCAACTCATCTTCAAGCCTATTAACACGTCTCAGAAGCCCTGGAATAATTTGTCGAGATCTCGGGCACATTGGAGGGTCAATCCAAGAGAAGTAATTGCATCCTCCAAAGGCCTGAATAATTATCAATCAATTGAATTGAACAAATCAATCACATAAGGTTGTTGATCAATTAAGGGAAAAAAATAGGATTCCAGATTAGGGGAAAATTTTGGGGTTGAATTTAGGGTTTCAGGGTTGGAAATTAGGGAAAAATTTCAGGGCTGCAAATTGAGTTGCATACTCCAATGGTTCGATTATCAATCAATTAAAAAAATCAATCACTTAGGGTTACAAATTAAAAAGAAGTAATTAACAAAATTAGGGTTACGAATTAAAAATCAGGGTTACAAATTAGGAGAGAAATTTAGGGTTCTAAATTAACAAAATTAATCATCAAGAAGAAGTAATTGCACCTTCTAATGGTCTGGATAATTAGCATAGAACAACATCTATTGCAAAATAGGGTAAATTTTTCGAATTATAGCCTAAAATTACCCGAGGTTTTTCACAAGCGGCATATCTTCTTCCCGGATTATGGTCTGTCCACGAGGTCTTCATTACGGCCCTTTTCTCACAAGTGCAGAAGTCTCCATTGCCGGTCACCTCGGAGCCCATGGTCGCCATTATTTCTCTCTTCCTCTGCAAACGAGACGGACGATTTGGGGAAAAGAAATTAGGGGTTTCGAATTTGAATAAGATTTTTTGTATGTGAGGACGATTTTGCCCGTTGTGTATCCTGTCAAAAGACGACTATACCCTTATTTCGGAACTCCGATGGCCGGAAGTGGGTAAGTGCACAAAGATGCGAAGTTCATACAGGTTAAGTGCCAAAAAAAAAAGTTTAGTGGGCAAAGTGTTAAAAGGCGGATAGTTAGGTAGGCAAAGTGTAATTTTTCCATTACCAACCAAATCAATATTTTATAATGATAAATATATATGTTTTATTTATGTGGGCCTTAACGAATCACATGGGGGCCCATTAGACACTTTGAAAGAGCCCAAATTTAATAGGCAAGTCATTCATTGATTTGGGCTCCATTAGACAACTCATCAACTAAAAAT